GGAAGTGCAAATTATATTTTATACCCTAAAAGATCTTAAAATTTTTATTTTATATTTTTAAAGATTAAATTTTTTATATTCCATCCTCAATGTATCCAAAGTATTACAATGTAATCCTTCTGTTAACTTTCCGTTAATTTTTTCATCAATGTTAATGGGTTAGTTTTTCACGAAAAAAATAATAGAAAGTAACAAAGGGACTATATTGCAACACTTTTGATACATTGAAGGTTTAATGTTAAAAATTTAATTTTGAGGATGTAAAGTGTAAATATTAAAATCTTTTGGGATATATAGTACAAACCCCCCCCCCCCAAAAAAAAAAAAAAAGCCTAGACATATATTATAAAAAAGATGTGTACATGGATAAAACAGGTATAATTGAATTATGTTAGTTTGCTATTTGAGAAAGAAGAAGTGAGGGGTCTGCTTACACTGTTTGAAACAAGCCAAGGATGTATTATCTAACAAATTCTCCGAGCCTTCAAAGCATTGGCAATAGTATCCAGTTCCATTAACAACGCAGTTTCCATCTCCACACCAAACAAGGGCACAAGCTGTGGGAATAGAGTTTTTTTGGTGAAAGATTATTCACATTTAGATAAATAATATATATTGAGCAAGGTATGCAAAAAAATGTGCGTATGGTTGATGATCTTTACGGCTAAACGGAGTAAATGGTGACGGTGGAGGAGGAGGCGGCGGTGATGGTGGAGCCCCGCTGCCACACTGGAAATCAATTGTGCCTGCATGCGAATTCATCAGTTACCTCATTAATCCAGCTTTAATTAATACCATGACACAGGTAAAATTAAGTAGGATAAGTCCCGAATCATCCAAACTATAAACATGCACGATCCACATCAAAGTTAGAACTGATAATGGGTCGTGTCGAATTGGGTTCGGTTAGTTGTGAAGTGATGTGATATCCAATTCCTGTTCAACAATACCCGACCCATTACGATCATGTTGATCGAATTCATGTAAAAAGTCCGTTTTTTACCATTAGATTTTGCTAAAAATAAACTTAAACCCAATAATTTCTCGCCTGATTTTGTATCGAGTTGGAAGGTGCTAACTAGAAACTTTTAAGGATAATATGTTAGGAGAGAGAGAGAGAGAGACTCACAGTTGGGAACAATACAAGCCGGGAAGGTCAAAGGGCCAAGTTGCATCTTCTTCCACCCCGGATTGCAAACACAATCAAATAATGAAGAATTAGAAGCCACACATTTTCCCTCTCCACAGTTTACCAACTCACATACAACATCTGCAATAAACATCACCATAAAAGGGAACACCCACAACAAAATTATATGAAGAAACTGGCAAAAAAAAAACTAAGTACAGAAGAAAAGATGATGTTGCCTTGTGAGGAGTTTGATGGCATCTGAGCATTGGTATTGAAGATGATGAGAGAAAAGAGAAGAAGTTGAAACGACAAGAGAGTGAAACTCAAATTGCTCCTCCCCATATTTCTTGGTACAGGAAAAGACTACAAGGTTAGGTGGTAAAAGACACTAAAAGAGCATTTATAAGAACATATATGTATTGCTAACATCAAAAATATTGGCTAGCCTCCAAACTCGAGGAGTACAAACCTGAACATCTTGAAAAATTATGACTTAATTTGGGAATCTAATAATATACAACCATCGGATTGATTGGAACTCTATCTAACATTAGAACTCATAACTAATCAAATAATTACATTAAAACCACATCACTATGTCCCTAAATTAAGTCCCAAAATAAGATCCATACAGCATGGCTCGACCAATGTCTCTTTGGTTTAATAGTAATTCTTACCTTATAAATGTTTTGACTTCCTGAGGTCAAGGGTTCAAGTCTCCCTCTCTCTCTCAAAAAAAAAAAAATTAGCATTGCTCAAACACTTTATAGCAAAACAGTAATGTTACGTTGATCAAATTTTGAGATCAAATTAAGAGCACAAAGGACATGACAGTTGACTTTAACTTATTTATTTAGTGTCATGTCATTTGGGTCCCAATAAATACTACAAATAATATCATGTCATATCATTTGATCTCTTAATTTGATTCTAAAATATGTTCGGCATAACATTCCTGATAGCAAAAACTTCAAAAATACTTGAACGTGTAGAAGCGTGGTGTAAGGCAATTCAAATATTTAGGTACAAAAAAAAACCAATTCAAATATTTATTTATGTTATTTTTTAATACTTTTTTTTTATAAGTGGATCCTATCAATAGGGGCGAAGCCACGTGGGGATCAGGGTTGAGACTTGCCCCCTCTCACTTTTAGACCACCCTTGATGCGGACCCATAAAGTTATTCATACAATATATTTGTCCTCTTAAATTTTTGAAAATTTTAATAATGGTTCTAGTTTTTTTTTTTCAATAATTAAGTGGTTCAATAACCCTCTAAAAAAATATTTTATTTTTGAATTGAGTAAATTAAATGTAACCATCCTAATTTATTTGTATATTGACAAAAAAATAATATTTATCTCTATTTAACACAATATTTGCTATTTTTTAAGAATAATTTTTAGTTTTCATTTATTATTTTTTTTTAGTAATAATAGTCAAAACCCAATAAAATATGATTGTACACAAAAGATAAAAAATTGTAACCCAAAAAATATTTCAAACTATATGACGTTAACTAAGTTTTATAACTAAATGAAAAATGATTTTACTACAGACTTGTTACATAAATCTATACCTGAAGTACTTACAAGTCATATATTTCAATTTAAGACAAAAAAATGAACCGTAATTTGAATCAGGACTACATTATTGTCAATTCATAACATTGAATGTACAAATTAAAATTTTTAATATTTGATGGTGCGAATTAAGAGTCGAAGCATCTTTCGAGGTGCAAAGTGAGATTAANTCATAACATTGAATATACAAATTAAAATTTTTAATGTTTGATGGTGCGAATTAAGAGTCGAAGCATCTTTCGAGGTGCAAAGTGAGATTAACCCTAAAAACCATTACAGACATATATATTGGTGGGAATTTTAATTCATCGTTGACCCAAGGCTTCTATTGTATTGTATTAAATCGTTATCGTTACGAGAGGTTTTTCCCACTAAGTAATAGTATATTGCTTAAATAATGCTTTTTATTTTCTATTTTTTCTGCGTTGTTTTTTTTATTTTCAGAAGCGCCAAGCCATAGCTTAGAATACAAAGCGGTAAGGTGGAAAGGAAGGTTCTTATACATGTGCTGTAAATATATAGTTGGAAAGGGTAGAAAGGGCGGGGCAAGCAATGGATGGAAGAGAAAGCGACATTCTCAAAACTTCTTTGTGGTCTCCCCCCACAACGCAAAAATGACAAATTGTGGTACATAATTAGGTGTTTGTGTTTGAGCCCCAAGAAGAACTCTTGGCCGTCTCTAATACACTTTGCTTTAATTCACTCGACGATAAATTACTTAATTAGGGGTGTTAATCGTATCGGGTTAAATAGGTTTGTGTCGGGTTTAATAGGATTCGTGTGAAAAATTATTCAACCCGTATACAATTTGTTTAATAAATTGGACAAAAATCTACAAATTAAACATAATTCGTTTATTAAACAGGTTATTCAACATGACTCATTTAACTCGTTTAATAAAATTTTTTATTAATATAATAAAAATAATTATTAATCTTTTTTTAACTTATCTGATTATCAAATTGCATTTATTATTTTGACAAAAATTATTTTGAATAATTATTAATTTATTATTATATTAATTTTATTTAAACATATGATAAACGGATTAAAATATCTCACTCGAACATCAACCGCTTATTAAATGGGCCTAATGAGTCCACCCGTGTACCCATTAATTTGCTTAATACCATATCAATATGTGTCATGTCGTATCACATTTTGAGAGATGTATCACTTATGGGCACTTAGCACAACGGCTCACCGGGCCCAACCGGCCACGCAAAGCACTGTGAGTGATTACATACGGAACCGGCCACGCAAAGCACTGTGAGTGATTACATACGGAGCAATGTTATAGGGATATAATTTATGGACATAATTTGGAGACATGTCATCAATAATATGATAATAAATTCATTTAATGTTACAATGTGACTCATCATTAAATACATTTCAGTATCACTTCATTGATGACAACTCATTATGTCCATAAATTATATCCGAATAGCATTAGTGTTAGAAATACCACTAACATGTGCTGCCATCGGCTATGATTTTCGGCCAGATTTAGGCCCATCAAGACTGCCTATCGATTAATTTTGCAATTCGACTACTTGGGCCGATTAAATAATAATGCAAAATAACAAAATTAAGCCCGATGGGCAATCAAGTTAAAACCTTCAGCCTTATGGGCAAGTTGTGGGCCTTTTTCTGACTAACCCAATTCGTTCACTAACTCACAACCTAACCTGCTACCAAACTCTAGGCTGTCAGTTGGCGAGCAGGGTAGACCCGGCCCATTCTGCTGCTGACTCCCAAGGCATTGTAATGACGGTTGTGTTGTGCATATTCCTCTCTCTCTTTTCAACCTCTATATGTATCCTGCATTACCTTCACTCTCACTCCCACTCCCACATAACCACATCAATCACCAGCAAATGCAATGCAGCCCTCCACATAGGGATATGATTATAATGAGATTTTAAATTCACTATTTGTAGATTGAATGAACACTATCGGTAAGTGTGCAGTTACAAATACACAATACCACAACAATTAAGATCCTTCATGACTCGGAGTCGGATGGCAATCAACCCGCCTCCCAAACAGCTTCAAAATAGCAAGAAAGAATTAGAAGGAACAATCCATCAACTGACCAGGGCATCACTGAGAAACAAAACACAGGTGATCTTTGGTACCAGTTGATCCCTTTATACCGATCCCAAAACTCGGGAAACAGTTTAGAAATAGGCAGAGATATAAGAAGCAAACACCCCTCGGGGATAGACAGATCATCATGAGAGACATAATGCAGATAATCTTTGAGTTTCATTGGATCCGTTTTATGCTGATCCAAAATCTGAAAACCATTTCTCATGGCGTTCAATGTCAGCTGCGGAGACACTTGGTTGAACCTTGGTTATAGCTTCTTCAAAGTCACACATGGCAACAGGGTCGTTTGAAATCTCGTCCTTGGACATGTTCTTAATCTCATCGCGTGTCTTGCCCGCTATCTTGCGTCTCATGCCATTTAAGGAAGCATCCCGGCAAACATTTGTTAGATCATCTCCACTGTATCCCTCCGTCTGACGAGCTACTTTATCAATATCCACATCGGCAGCTACCTGATATAGAAGAACCATTACTAATTAGGAAGACTATTCGTCAAATCTTGAGGGGGTAAACAATGGGTATCATGTATTCATGTTTCAAATTTTCGGCCCATATTGATTACTTCAACTAAGTCAGTATCCAACTTGGCACCTTCCATTCTGAGACCAATGCATGTTCCAAGTAAACCACGAGTCTCACTTGGCATGGTTGTCTAGCAGATGACTCAGACAATCAACCGAGTTGTCCAAATCATTATTCCACTATGTCATGACATGACTGAACCTTTCACCGTGTCCAGCTTTCTCCACCTAGTAATTCATGCCTAGTAATTCATGGACATCGCCCAATACCGTCTTCGCAATGTTGCGAGGTGTTTCAACTCCCCGAATCAATGGCTGCTACTGTAACCTTATACCATGGTGTATATAGTTGTTTTTTCAGTTCATAATGATCTTTATAAGGGCAAGTAAGCATATCAAGTAGTAAAATAAGTAAATTAATGAATGATTGCTCGTAACTGATCAATTACTTTCTCAACATATGACACAACTAAAAGCAAACAGGAGAGCATAAGCAAGAAGGACAGCTTGACCTAAAAGAAAAAAGAATTCAAACGTCTGTTAAAAAAAAGTATGCTTCGAGTGTTACATATCAAAGGTAAGGGAAAAATAGCTCAACATTTTCATGAATCTGCTACAGCTGTGATAAAATAGACATGCATCCAACTAAAAAAGTTCCTATAAATTATATAATCCAAGATTTTCCTCCTTCCCTCTCGATTAAAGCAAGAAATTTACCAAAACCTCGTCGTGCAAGAACTAGTTCTTTAACAAATACTTTCAAATTATGTAACCACTCAGCTTTCCCAAGCCCCATGGACAACCAAGTGAAAATCTTAATTCATTCACAACAGGGTGGGCATCACAATGCAATGAATACAATGGCAGTACAAGTATGCTCACACTTGAAAATAATGATCCTCACATGTAGAATCATAATTTCGCTAAATGACAAATATTAAGCTGCCAGTTGGATTGTGGGAATAAATTGATCGTCACAAGGGCATATGCCAAGCTACAGTAATATTAACCTACAACATTGTAGAAAAATACTGTTTAACAAAGAATCAGAGCTACTTAGACAAACAATATCTCCGGAAGGAATGACCAGTTGGTAGGCAAAGTCAATTTACCTCCACAGTTTTCAAATTGATCCTTATAAGTTCCTTACGAGACTCAAAATTTGGAAGAGGTATATATATTCGCTTTTCTAGCCGCCTCCTGCATTGTGTTAATAAACAAATCACAACAAGCAGACAGACAGTATTAGAATTTAAATTGAATTTGAAAATGCATAGAAAAAAAAAAGGAGAAATTCAAATAATATAAGACCAAACCTTAGCGCCTCATCTATATCCCATGGAAAATTTGTAGCTGCCAAAACCATTACGATTTTGCGAGTACCATCTTCATTAGTCCCAGTATTGTTTACACCATCTACCTGGACAAGAAGTTCAGACTTCACCCTTCGGGATGATTCATGCTCCCCAGAAGCCCTGCACAAGTGAACTCCTCAATATATGACCATGGTACAACATCAAAAATATAGAGCCACTACCAGAAGAATACCGCATTTTAATAATAGTTCAGACACATGCAAGGAAAGAAGCATTT